TGGGATAAAAACAATCGGGAACTGCGATGCAATCAAGTTGATGTGATTATATGGCCCCCAGTATGGAACCACGTGACTGGAAGGGCCCAATTGTCACATTCACGAAAACAGAGCAAGAGTTGCTTATCTGTGGAGAGAGAGAGAGAGAGAGAGAGAGAGAGAGAGAGAGAGAGAGAGAGATGAAATGAGAGACAAAGACACTGTATTTATGGATGAATTTTACATCAACTAATATTTAAGGACATAGAACTGATTGTCTGTTTCTTTTACACAGAACGAACATTGTTGTATAACCCTTCATCCTCACTTGTTGTAATTTGTCACAGCTCGCATGTATACATGATGTTCACTTCAACAAAGTGTACGAGAGTGTAACTAAGCCCTCAGAGTGTTTGTGTTTGTGTGTGTGTGTGTGTCTACTGGTGGTGGGGGGGGCAAGGGAAGGTCTGGCTTAGTCGTAATAGCGCAATTTTGGATTTGTATAAAGGTTCACCAATAAAGGCGAGAACTCCGTGACTCGGTCATTGTCGAAGCTTCAACGTTTATTGGGGATCTTGATTTCACTATTTGGATGAGGATGGAATACGATATTTTTCGACTGAGTCAGTCGTAAAAGATCGTATTCCATCCTCAACCAAGCAGTGCAATCAAGATCCCCAACGAACACTTGGTATTTTCGACAATGACCGAGTCACGGAGTTCCTTAATCGAATGCTCCACAATGCTCCGATCGACGCATGCATGCGTCGAGATGAATGGTTATCCCATTAACAGGCGGGCACCATCATTCCAAACACAACACTATCACATTTCCAACATAATTCATTACATTTCCATCACATTTTCATCACGATTCGAATTTCATATCGTACATGAAGTCCTGTGTTCAGTTGTTTAACAACTGATTACCAACACACATTTCAACGTGCCCTACGCACTTCAACAGATTTTAAACAGATTAAGAACTGTTTACCGACACAAAGTTCAACAGATTATCATGTCACTTCATGTGGACAACATAACTCACCAACGTTGGTTTCCATCACTTCCTGTTGACCACGGTGCATGTGCCAGGAAAAACAGTTAAAAAACAGTTTTTAAACAGTTCAAAGGTGTCAAGGACCCACGATCAACGCAAAAAAAAAAAAAAACCGACAATTTTTTTGTTGGAGAGAGCACGTCTTAGGTGTGAATATCTGTGTATTTAATTATTTTTCTCCTAGTGAGTTTACCAAGTGTTCTGCATGCCGGATGTCACTGTTTACATATCCCACTTACAACTAATGGAATCGTCATATAGAGGGATATGTAAATGGTGATATCCAGTTTGCCAAATATCTTGGTGAAAGTTTCCTCGCCTTTAAAAAAAAGGAAAGACATATATACACTCTCCCCCCTCGCAAGTTTTTTTTTTTTTTTTTTTTTTTTTTTTTTTTTTCTCTCTCTCTGACGCCTCGGTTTTGATGGATATGTGGTTTTCTTGGTTCGGTGATACCGTTGCTGCAATATCCACGACCTATTGTAGTTTTCATTCGCACTCTGTTTAATTAATTGTTTTTGCGTAAACCTATTTTGTTTTATTCATTTTTTAAGTTGGTGTTATGCATTTTTGTTTACTAGTGAAAAAATGCATTTTGTGTAATGGTGCTTATAATGCATAGTACACGTGACATCTCGTGCCCATACTTTGTGGTGCAATCGTTGAGCCTTATTTGCATGATGTTAGATATGCAGTTAAAGAAATGACAAAAAATTAAGGTTGAAAAAATAACTCGTTTAGTGTTGACAATAAGGGGGATTACTGACTTTTGTCTATCCATTCATTTATCATTGTAATTTATTTATTAATTGAAGAGAACGATTAAGTGAAGGTGATGATGTTCGTGAAAAAAAGAGCGACGACACTATTTTAAACATGTATTTTTTATTCTTCTATCGTTCTACAGTCTATTCCGCTTTTTCCTTGTTTTTGCTTCTTTTTTAGTCAAAAGTCTTGCTTTGTCTCGAAGTTCAGTTCTGTATTGAAAGTTGTTCTACCCCGTACTGACCCGATAATTTTCTTGTCAGAGCAACCTGCATAAGTATGTTTAGCGAGATTTTCAATGTCGGGGCAAATACCATGACAGGGGTATTTGCCAGGGTTTTTCAACTTCGGACGTTGTCTGACTTTTTCGTTGGATTAAAGGACTTGATGAGACTGACGTTTGCCAAAAGTTTATTCAAACCTGACCGTTGACTGACAGACTAAAAGTTTTTGAACGTTAGTCTGAACGCGTGTGACGTCCGAGAGTAACGGATGTGAATGGTAATGCTTCGCTTTTGTCGAAGCCGCAGGAATGTGGGGACATGGCAACGGTAAAACTAAACCTATTCTATCTAAAATAATGTCGCGTGGTTGTTAAACCGCGCGATTCAGGGCTTAAAGAGGCTAAAAAGAGGAGAAAAGGTTAACAACTCGTAATATTTTTAGGTCATTTTTCAGTTCCTCATAGTATGTTCATCCAAGCATTTGGATAGGGAAACCTGAAACCGCTTTCAGAAGCTTCAACCACTTCAGATCATTTCAGAGGTTTGAGGTCTCTCCATCTGAAACTCCTGAAATTATCTGAAGTGGCTGAAAATCTGAAAGCAGTTTCATGTCTTCCCATCCAAGCATTTGGACGGGGGGACCTGAAACCTCTTCAGAAGCTTCAGCCACTTCAAATCATTTCAGAGGTTTTAGGTCTCCCCACCCGAAACTCCTGAAATGATCTGAAGTCGCTGAAAATCTGAACATAGTTTCAGATGCCCCCATCTAACCATTTGGATGGGGGGACCTGAAACCACTTTCAGAAGCTTCAGCCACTTCAGATCATTTCAGAGGTTTCAGGTCTCTCCATCTGAAACTCCTGAAATCATATGTAGTTGCTGAAGCTTCTGAAAGCGGTTTCATGTCCCCCTATCCAAGCATTTGGACGGGGGGACCTGAAACTGCTTTCAGAAGCTTCAGCCACTTCATATCATTTCAAAGGTTTCAGGTCTCCCCACTCGAAACTCCTGAAATGATCTTAAGTGGCTGAAAATGTGAAAGCGGTTTCAGATGCCCCCATCCAACCATTTGGATAAGGGGACCTGAAACCACTTTCAGAAGCTTCAACCACTTCAATTTTTTTCAGAGGTTTCATGTCTCTCCATCTGAAACTCCTGAAATGATAAGAAGTGGCTGAAGCTTATGAAAGCAGTTTCAGGTCCCCCTATCCAAGCATTTGGACGGGGGGACCTGAAACCGCTTTCAGAAGCTTCAGCCACTTCATATCATTTCAAAGGTTTCAG